ATACTTTGGAGGAGATGTGTCTTTCTGTAGCTATGGACATTCGTTCATTGGGAGGAAATATTAAGAAGGCGACGGTAAAAGGGTTTTATGAGAGAAATATTAAAAAGAAGGATGGTTATATTAGTACTTTAGATCAAATTGGTTTATGGATTGATAGTAAAACAAATAACATAGGTAGTGAGTAGCGGGAAAGGAACTGTCATCATATGGGTTAGGGCTCGGCAGGCATTTATGCTTTATTCCTCCCTTTAAATTCCGCTTCTCTATATTTTTACTTAGCCGAGCTCTAACTCTCAATGTATTGATTTTTTAAAAAAAAATAAAGATATGATTATAGCACTACGTGCCTTACTTTATCTGATTTCAAAGTATTATGTCTAGTTTCGGTTTTTTGCTTAATAGAAAATTGATTGATTTTTTAGAGATATGCCAGCAGTCCTTCACATTGAGAACTAGCAAATTAGAACAATAATGTGTAATATCGTATATTGTTTTATCAGTAATATGAGTACATTGAAAAATAAGATATCGAATATCTGGACACGAATGAACTATATCACACATAGCATCATCTGTAATACTATAATCAAAAGACAAGTCCAGGTGTTGAAGTTTTATACATGAACGCGCAATCGCGTAAATTGATATATCTTCGATAAAAGGTTGGGAAGAGAGGTTTAAATAAACTAGATTAGAACAAGTTCGTGCTATTTCAATTACAGATGCATCAGTAAAATTTGTATTATGCTTATTCAAGGAAGCAAGGCTTATATATTCTAATTTCGGACAAGATCGTGTTATTTCAAATATGCATTTATCAGTAATAGCTTTACATGCATTAAGACTCAGATGCTGTAGGTTTGGGCAATATCTTGCAATTTCTATAATTGGTATATTACTGAAACCATAACTTCAATCAAGAATGAGAAAGTTTATATTCTGACATGAACACAGAATCGCACTGAGTAACGCATCTGAGATTTTTAAATCTTCCAATCTGAGATATACCATCTTTGAGCAATAGAGTGGCTTTTTCTTTTCACATATAACTCTTTTAAATTTCATCAATCGCCAATAAAGAGGTCCAGATGTATTTAAGACACCTCGACTCTGCTGAAAATCTTCTGTGAAAAATTCAATACGTCTCCATAAAATCGGAGCACTACAGTGATACCAAAGGTGATTAACAAATAAAGCAGAATAAAGCGCTTTATCCTTGGCTAAGACACTGAATATGTTTTCAAGCAACTCTGGAATAATGAGAGGGTGGGCCATGTTTATTTTTATATAAGTATTAGAAAACTCGAAGTGGTTTTTATATCTGATATCACGCTTTATTCATCTAATTTCAATGGGGTGTCCCAACCCAGTCTAACTGCTAGAGGATCGTCTACCGCCTTAGTAAAATCAAAAATCACGAATTCTCGATCCCGCAAATGCTTATCAATAATCTTAGATGCCTTTTTTGGATCATCTGTATATTGACGTACAGTACTACTCTGTGAATGTCGTCCCTAGATCCACTCCCTTGGAATAGGCATAAGTGTGAGATATTTTCACGAATAATTTTAGGTGTTTGTGTATATTTCTGGCTTACATATATAGGTGAGACATTTTGATGCCGGCCACTAATGAAGTAAGGAATAATTCGTTCTTGCACTTTTTTGGGTTCGGCACATAGATCCTCAAAAACAATAACCGTACTTCGTTCCGGAGAGAATTTAGTTATATCTGGGATCTTATCTGGTAATATCCATTTAAATGTAACATCTTCTCGATATGGTTTTGGAGCATTTGCAAAGATCTGATAGCTATTTTGTACAAGTTGCCATTTTGGTTCAAAATGTTTGGCTACTAATCTGAGATCATCATTTCTAATATACCGTTCACCTTTTTTTCCATTAAACATGCATTGTAGTTTCTCACCAAGCATGAGATTTATTTCCATGTTAGTTTTTCCGCTATTTGAGCTTCCATTTATAAGCATCCTAAATGGGCAGTCTGGCGAATACTTATTACCCTTCATTCGTTCTGATGACTTTTTAGATGTCTCATTGATATTATATACATATATGGGCATGCCTTTATCTTTCATTTTAACCAAGATATGCAATATTTACTATTTATATGATAAATAACCTCTCTCTTGTAAGTTGCTTTTTATATAGGGGAATAAATCACAATTGAATGGGATACAAATAAGATCTATATCTCGCTCTTTGCATATTTCATGCTTTTTTTGGTCGTGTGATCTTTGTGAATCTAGGTCTATCTTGCCTCGCTTATGGAACATTGGATTCTCAGAAAAATGTTGAGATCCATTAAATTCCCATGCCAATCGCAATTCCTCATTATACCCATCTAATTGCATCCCATTCAAAAATGGTGGTTTACATGATGGGAATTTTTTACCTAACAGATCCTCAAAAATATATCTCGCAGAGCGCTCCCCTTTCCAATGAGGGCAAACTGGGCACCACTCAAATTTTTGTACCAAGACCTTATAAGGCGCTTCCCACTGATGAATTCCATTTTTACATGACCAGAGATATACACCAAATCCATTTATTTGCCCGGTTTTCATAATACAATACCCATCACGCTTTCTGGCATATTCCTCAGCCTGAGATGCTTCATTATTAGAAATATGAATGAAGTTAATAAATCCAGTATGATATTTTTGCATAAATTCGTCTGGTGGATACTGGATATTTTTAGGATTTTTGATAACCTGGAGTTCTTCCCTCTTAAAAGGTCTTTTTGGATTCCGTCCCATCAAATGAGCAGTAGATTCGATAGGCTCATCCTCAAGATAATATAAAACCGGCTGTGGCGGATTTTTACCAACAACAATTTTTTTGATTCTATAAATCCGCAATGACCAGTATGGATCAGTCGCTCTATGTCTGTGATCCCCTTCTAGCTCGCCAGGTTTTAATAAATACCTTACTGTAGTACCTTTCTGTAATTTTTGTTCGTATTTTCCAATAGGTCTTTTAGCTTTACTAGAAGGTTTGGATATAACTTCTTTCAAAGTCATAGCCTGGGATGGTGTCATACCAATAAGACGGGTTTTACTATTATTCATGTAGGTGAGAATTTTTTGAAGAACTTTATCCCATAATTGTGATCGCTCTCCTTCCGTTAATCGCCCCTCGATAGCATATTGAATTTTATATATAAGTTTTGCTACATTCTTTTTTAGTGCTTTAATAAATGCCAAACTCTCGAAACTGTAAAGATCAACAACTCTTATAACAACATTATACTGTTCCATCCCTCGAGAGAATGCTCCACGAAAACTTGCATCACCATCAGTCATCAATAATGTGGGCCAGGTAAGAGGATTGGTAGGATCTTCATATATCTCTTTAATCGCGATCCAAATTTCCAAGCTATTTCTTGATGTTAATGAACGTCCAGCCTTGAAACGAGTTGAGATATCAATTACTAGTAAACTACAAACAAATATCCTCATACCATCTTGATTATCGCGAACATGAATTAATATATCGCACTGATGAACTTTATTGGGAATCTTGATCTTCTGGAAACCCGCTTCTGCCTTGCACTTTTGTGGCGTAAGAAATATTTGATAATCATATTGATTCTCCAACCATTCTGTAATATCTTTGAGTTGGAAATGTTCATACCCTTCTTCCTGACATGCTTTCCACAATTTTTTACTATTTGGATGGAATCCAGGTATGTTATAGTAAATAAAACGTAGGACAATTTGCAATTCCTCATAAGGATTAATTATAATAGTGGGTACACTCATTTTCGGTACATTCTACTATAAATGTTTTGGTGGAGGTCAGGGGTAAGTCAAATATATTATATCAAAAAAGCCATAACATGTCTAAAAAAAAAAAATTATCAGATCTTTTATATACACATATGGCAAATTTTGACCTTTTTATACGAATTGAGCGAGGATTGGATCGGCTAGAAAATCATCTTGGAGCTGGTACACCACTAAACAACCCCATCAATATTATAGGAGGAATTCGTGGGTCTTTAAACACTATTCGGGCTAATTATCAAAGAAAAGACCAGGATTTGGATGATATTACGAATCAACGTGATGACAGAGATAACCAGATAATTCAGTTACAGCAGGACGTTAATGGTTATAGGCAACAGAATATCAATTTGCAAAATCAAGTTAACCAACTTACCCAGGATGGTATTACTTTACAGAATAATCTTAACCAGCTTACCCAAGAACGGAATAATTCTCAGAATAATCTTGCTTTAATGACTACGGCTTATAATAATGAACAGGTAGAATCCCGTCGCTGGCAGAGGATTGCTCAAAAATTGGAAACAGGAATGCAGGTACGGGTTAATACTTTATTACTTGAGAAGGTTGCACTTATATTTAAAAGCCGGCAATGTCAGAGGCATAGTAGAGAATTACAACAAAAATATGATATGCGGGGGCATTTGTGGCATAATGTTACTTTGGCATTAGAAGAACAATTTAAACTCAGGCATATTTTTGAAATTATTTATAAAGTATCTATCCACCGATTAAAGCAAGAGTTGCGACAATGTAATCATGATAAAGTCTTCTTACAATTTTGGTATGACCGTGTTGTTCCAAGCTACGAAAAATGGAAAAATAGAACACATAATGCTAGGCAATTAATTTTGAATTTGAATCAGCAAATTTTTGCGCTTCAGAATAATCCGCATATAAATAATAATCGAACAAGTATGGCAACAATTCCGGCACCAACATTTTCAGGTAATCATGATGAGGATATTGATATTTTTATTAGTCGCTTTTCTGCATATTTGGCTGGTATAGATGTAAATCCAGTAGGTGTAGCCCGAGATAGAGCTTTTGGTATTCTACGGGGATGTTTATCTGGATCAGCATTAGACTGGTTCGATCGAAAAATTCTTGGTAAACGATGGGAGCTTCATAACATTCTCGCAAATCATGGACAAGCTAATATAGCTGGTGTTCAAGGACGTACCATGGCACAAATGAATAATACTAATAGTTTTAGAAATCCCTCTATTGCTCATACCTATGCTAATGTCCCTGCTAATAATGCTGTAACAGTAGGGAACTCGATGGTTCCAGCAGAAGCTTTTATAGAAGATTGGCGTTTAGCCGGGGGCCGTCCATCAGATAGACCCGTCAATGCAGTAAATGCTGCTAATAATAATCCTATCATATTTGATAATATACGGATTGGGCAGGCTTTATATTGGTTAAAGAATGAGTACCCCACAGTACTTAGTGAGAAACGTAATCTAGTGTTTGGATCATTGGCTCAAGGTGATGATCCTTTAGGAGTATTCTATTCAAAACTTAGAAAGTATGGGAAAATGTTAAACCATGATGAGGAGCAAATCAAAGGCCAGTTTTTACGTGGCTTGTCTTCTGATCTAGAGGATGATGCAGAGCGTATTGGCACTGAACAACCCTTAGAAGATCTTTTTACTACATTAGAACGAATTGAAACACGCAGATTGGAAAAAAGACTGGGTTTAGTTTCTAAAATACCTCAGTCTGGCTATAAGCCATCATCCAAATCTCGGGAAAAAGATTATTACTCCAGCGATACGGGTATGACCGAAGCTAACGTCAGAAACTTGGTGAAATCTATAATGTCTGAACAATCACAACCCGTCTCACAAACCATCTCTTCTAAGTCCCAGGATAACCAAATCACACTTTCACAAGATGATTTCAAAAAAATTATAGTGGGTTTGAAGGGAACTATTGCTAAAGGACAGCAAACTTTGAAGAAACCTCCTGGTCCAGGGAAACAAAAAGCGGATGATCTTGCTGTAAACCGTTTTTTAGATAGTTTAACAAATAATACAGGTTTACCAGGAGAAGATTATGACTATGATCCAGTTGAAGATTTGAGATTACAGCTTGAGCAGTTGGATATCAATCAAGCAAAATTAGCTTGAGTAATAAATGCAGTTTTAAAATCTTCTCGCAAATGCTCAAAGTGTGGCAAACCAGGCCACAATTCCCGCAACTGTAAAAATAAAAGAAAGAGCAAGTCTAGGCATTCTAGTAAGAGCAAATCCAAGAAAGGTAAGGTTAATCTTGCTATCAAAGATTCAGATTCCGAGTCTGATGCTAACTCTTCTGATAATGAATCCAATTCTGACTCTGGCTCTGGCTCTGATTCTGGGTCTGGTTCCGAAACGGAATCTGATTCTGAGAATGGCTTAACTGAGACTGAAATCGCGAAAATTATCAATGCTGTTAAATCAAAAAAAAAGTAAAGCCAAAGAGTAAATCGTCCTCTAAAAAGAAGTCTAGTCCAAAGAAGAGACAGAGTCTCGAATCTCCGATTCAACGTACTTCACAAAAGAAATCAGGTACAATTATCGAGTCGCAAATTCGAAAAATTATTCTAGCTATGTTTAATGATCCAGAGGTTATAGAAACGATTAAAAACAATATTAATAACATGAATTTATCTGTTACAAGACCTGACTTTATAAATTACCGAGAACCAGCTCCAGAAATACCTGATTCGGATAGGGAGGATGAAATGCTAGACGATCCTATGGAGATTGATTTCGTTCAAAAAAAAGATCCAGCTACAGATGTCGTAACTACAAAATGCAAAATTAAACGATTGGTAATTCCGGCGGCCACGGTAGATCCTGGTGCAAATTTTCCAATCATGTCTGAGAATATAGCTGAACGATTAAAATTAGATATTGATATAAGGGAAAAACATGATCTTAGAGGTATTGCTACAGTCCCTACTGAATCACTTGGAATTGTTCGCAATGTACCAATAAATTTTGCCCGAGGTTGCACTATATATTCTGATTTTGCAGTGGTTAAATATCCCAAGCCAATGTTGATTTTGCCCAATACATTACTTGACAAATATGACTATGATTTACTTGCATCGAAGCGTGAGTTAAAACTGGTATGCAATGGTAAGGAGTTTTTTATCCCGATCAATATGCACAAGATCAAGAATAAACTCGAAGTGAACTATGCAACTGCGATTCAGGATAGGGACAAAGTCCCATTGCTTTGCAATAATAAGCCTTCAGTGCCGGATCAAATTTCTCAGGAGATAGATGGGGATGAAAATAATAACATCTTATTCGATACATGGCATGTTCCAGCGAATTCCAGTATAGATGATGCAGAGCATCGAATCTTCGATTCCTTTGATGATTTATCATTAAAAAAAAAATATATAAATTGCGAGAGGGCAGTCAAAATCATTACTGAGCTTAATATTCGCAACAGACTTTTATTATCAAAATACGAAACTATGGATAATAAGAAAACCTATTAAGAATTGCTAGGGGTAGTCATTTTGTGAGTATTTAATATATAATCTGAACATTCTATTCGCTCCTCTCCCTCATTTAATGCTTGTTCAACTGGATCAGAAATTTGAACAGATTTGGACTTCGATCGCCTCTTTTTTGTTTGTTTATCTGAGGTATTATCTGAAGCGTGTAGGCTAGAAGAGCTATGATTCAAAGAATCGCCTAACGGCCTGTCCTGCAATAAAGATATTGATGTTATTTTGGGAGAAATTATACTTTGTACCTGAGATGGGTGAGAGTATATCATTTGTTGTTTACGCTCCCGATTTTCAATATAGTCTTTAACCCGAATATAGGATATACGATATTTTTTTGCCATAGAATTTATAGCATCAGGTACTCTACCGGGTGATGTTTTAATATCTTTGATTGCCTCAACCGATAATAATCTCGCATTAGCACTATAATATTCTTTATGAATATGACCCATATCGAAAAATTTTTATTATTTATAGCTATTAAAAAATAAAGAAATGTTTCAAAATGTTTCGAAATGTTTCGAAATGTTTGTATATGTTTCAAAATATTTAAATTTTTTTAAATATGTATAAACATTTGTACTAATTATTTATCATATCTACAAATTCCCATATAGCATAAATACATGTATGTGATATATGATACTTTCTAGTTAAAAATAATATTGCATTTACACCTCTACTATTTATTATCTCGAAAATTACTTCAGATAGAGATATGTTTTATTTAATCGAAATCCCACCTTTTCACACCATGTGTTTATAGCCAGATTTTTTTTGTTATATATGAGAAAAATGCTAAAATATACAGCCAATGCGCAAGATAAAGAATCTCGTATTGTAAAAGTTATATCGGGGTTAAGTTCTCGCAATAAAAAATTAGAGGACAGGTATATAAAGCAATGGGAAAATTTTGATCGTGAACGGGAGAGTTGGGAACAGGAGAGGAATAAGTGGCGCCAGAAACTAGATGAATCTAATACTGCTATTCAGAAATTACATACCTGTGATCTTAAACTCATTGACGAAGCTAGGAATTTACAAATCGAAATTGTTAATAAAAATCGTTCTCTTGCTGAATTCAAGGCTGAAATCGATATAAAATCCAAGAAAATTGGATCGCTAGAATCTATGATCGAGATATTGAAGGGTAAGTTATCTTCGGCCCAGGAGGATGTAATTTCGATCCAAACAAAAAAAGAATTCGAGATCACGTCATTCAAATCCAAAATAGCTGAATTAGAACAAGAGTTGACTTCAAAGATTAGCAAGCTTGAGCGTCTGAAAACGGAGGCTATATCGAAAGCCATAGTTGGTGGGGATGACGAAAAAAATATACAAGGCAGTGAACAGACTTTTCTATCGAATTTTGATGAAATAGCTGCAATTAGTGAACCTAATAATCTTAGTAAATATTTAGTACGCAGAAAAAATATGGATCCAGGCCCTTTAGGGGCGACTCTTCGAGTCATAGAGAAAATCGATGGTGATGTCGAGACATATACCAGGCCTTTAGGCACCTCAAAGAGGCATGATGAGATTACTGAACTATCAAAAAATGATACTGAGATCAACTCTAAGGGAAGTGATGAAATCGATATTAGCAAAACTAACAATATACTTCAAGAAATACCAAATATAACTCCTTACCTTACACCGCCAGAAAATTATGGGTTCTGCCCAGTGTCAAAGACACATACTCCCTCTTTGATGTCACTGCTATCAGCATATATATTTCTTACTCTGTTAATTATTGCGGTTATTGTTATATTCAGACGCACATGGAATATAGGTAAAAAGAGTGATCAGTTATGGGATGCATAGGCCAGGTATTAGGAACTATCTATTTAAACTTAGGAGTTATTTATATACGAAAAAATATTATTAATAATATATATGTATCTTAGTAGATTGTGGCGATCTTAGCTAAGAATACTATTGCGGAGTAATGACCCTTTGGGTCTAACAATATAATAGCACAGCTAATCAATTCAAGGCTTTAACATATTTCGTAAGCCATTTTTTAGCTTCTTTTTGCGAATATGCGTCAATCTGTTTTTCTTTCTCATCTGAATCTTTGAGTTGCATAATTTTATGTGAAGATGATGGTTGATATTTCTCGTCTTCGTTAATAAACCGCGCACATAATCCCAAAGTACTTTCTATATAGTAGTTGATATTTATTTCCATGTTCTGTTCTTTTGCAAACTCTGGATATTCCATATAATCACCAAGTCTATATGGTATTAATCGACCTTTTTCATCACGATAATGTTCACCCTTTACTATTACATAACTAAAGCGCTCACCAGGATCTGGGATATTCAATTTTTTTTCTTTCATTCGAGTTATAAAACGCTGGATACGAAGATTTTTTTTCTTAGGCTTCCACGTAGCCGTCCCAATAAATTGACTAAAGTCCCATTGCTTATCTTTGGCCTCTCTGAGAATATCTTCAACAATTTTATGAATTGATCATGTATTATTTATATTCATAGCTTCCCACATGATTTTTTCCCCGATAAATTTGAAAAGCTGGGACTGGCCTTGCTTTATGCTATCAATCCCTTTTTTAAAGAGATTATCTGGTTTGAAATTGACAACCCCTTCATGCGGTACACCGAAGTATTTTTTCTTGCCAGTAAAACAGACAGGAAATAATACCTCTTCGTATGCCATTTTAAGATAAGATGTGCCGTTTTTTATCTTCAGATAAGCATTTACTTCATCACGCAACTTTTTCATCACATTCATAGTAATTTTAACCATTTCAGACCAGTATTCCTCCTTGGAAAGGTTTCCTTCGTTAAAAGCTTTATCGTATTTTTCATAATATTTATCCGGACAGGTAAGATATAAAGAATCGGTATCCCCATATTTTATTCCGAAACCTTTCCCAGACACAAACTTAGCAACAAGATCAATATTATACTGACCTGCAGAAGTGATTCCTCCAGCTAATTCACGAAGAAAGAATGGAGATTTGTTGTTTCCTGCTTCTCCGTAAAAAGTATTCATATATACCTTTAAAGCGAACTGTTTGGAATTTAAACAATTATAATCAAAACATATGGATGAATATTCTGAATTTAAGCTTTCTGGGATTTTTTTACCTTTCTCTTTAACCGAACTTATCATTTTCCCAAGATGTTCTTTTTTCTTTCCTAATGAGGCAAGCTGTGCTTTAAGATTTACTCTCTTATTGAATAGATCCTCTAATACAATAGGATATAAACCCTTCTTCTCGAATTGATTATCATGTCTTACACACCAAGCATGGACAATGCGGTTATTAAATGGAAACTCAATCTTATGCAAGTTATTTCTATTTTTTTGTACAATATCGGCCTCTCTATAAGTTAATATCATTTTTTCTGGAGAAAGGTTATAAGCCATAATAAGACTGGGATATAAAGATGCAAAATCCAATCCTGTAACAGGTCGTTTGGTCTCAATTCCTTTTTTAGGCGGAAATACGTATGCGCCAGGATACTTACCTTTTTCTATATTTTTACATTGTCTCGTACTAAATAGTATATTACGTTTAGTGGCATAAGCACCCAGAAGGTTTCGCACCTTCATTCCATTTGCCCGATAATGTGAATCAAATAAAGATACATAAGCTATAGAAGCAACCTCCCTATAGTCATTAATTACATTCCGCTTAACCATAAGCTCCTGGCAGCGCAATGCATCTATAATACAATAATATGCTACTTTACGCATGTTTTCTATAGTAGATTGCGATTTATTTGAGGAAATACTCTCTTTTGCTTCTGAGTAAATTTTCCACATTTTATTATATGGCATGTCCGCTTTACCCCCCAATCCACATATTTTTAAGTAAAATGCGAGTGAACTTTTTTTATCAACTTCTGCGCGAGGGTAAAGTTTCATAAAACATGCACGTACATCAATTGGTACACAACCTGGTATTTTAAGAAAAGTAGAAATATAATTATCTTCTGGACTAATCTTAATTATGACTGGCTGTACTCTATCATTTTCTTCCTCACTATTATCAATAGCGCCTTTTTTAATTTGAAAACTATTTTTAGATTTTGCCCCTATGTTCCCGTAATAATTCCATTTTAGAATTTCTTCCTTCGATTTAAATCTTCCCGTCATCTGTTGCCACATCCATTCGAGAATATTAAGTCTATAAGCTCTTTCCATAATAAATGGCCAATCATATTCGGAATCGCTAAATCCGAGTTGAATATCAGGGATAAAGGCTTTCCAGCATAATGCGAATGCTTTCAGTAAATTTGTCTGGTTCCCACATACAACTGTTATCCATCGTGGGTCTGGTGCAGTTTCAAGATCGACAAGACAGATTTGTTTTAACGGTCTTGGATCGTCTTTCCAGTGCAAGGTCATACAAATCATGAATACGATACTTTCTTCATCGTGTATTTCAGCAAATTCGCCCAACTCTCGTGATTATGTCTCTATATCCCATGTAAGGATAAGCGTACGATCTCTCATGAGTGCTGAAATCGGAAAACGGTCACTTATCATTTTTAGATCTTCTACTGGTCGAAAATTGTTTATAGAAACCTGAAAATCGTGTGTATAATGAGAATGTTTTTTGTATCTATACTTACTTATCATAGACCAACCAGAAATTGCGATTCCATTTTCTCTAGCTATTTTATGATGAAACGAGAACATATCATCTGAGGCAGTTTCGAAATTTTTATCTTGGATAGCTTGGAGAGCTTTCTTCCTATCCCTACTACCAAGTGTAAAAATTCGTAAATATGACTTTTTTTCTGTATGGTAACCACGCAAGGGGAAGGCCTTAATATATTCTATTTTATAGGTATTTATAACACTAGAGAGAATTGCGTCTATTTTTATTTTAAACTCGTCTATGATTTCTTTATCAGGTACAAGTATATCAAAGAAAATCTGGATCCCTGTAAGGGTAACTACTGCTTTTTGACCGTTAATGAGAGAGCCGTAAAGACGCAAAACATAATAATTTTTTTCACCTTTTTTTTCCGATGAACCCTCAAAATCGACAGCCATGAAAGGGATTTCCTCTCGTTTAGTTAAAGCATTATTGAGAATCGCAGACAAACTCTCATCATTTTCTGCAACTATATCGTTGCGAGTTGGGACTCCTAAATAATCACCGCCAAAATAGTGGAATACGTATTGAAGTAATTGTTCTGCCTTTTCGTTTTCCTCAATCACAGATTTCGGAAAAGCTTTGGCCCCCCGGCGGTAGAACGCCCCGTTATTTTCATACTCCGTCTCTGGCTCGAAATTCTCCGAGTTTTCTGGGCTCTCTGGTCGAGAAGGTACTTCCACTTCTGCTGACACATGATCGATATTTTTTTGGAAATTTTGGGTATTCATTGTAACTAAGATTATTTTTGCGCTATACTATTAGAAACAAAAAAGTTCAAATAAAAAATAAATCCGAAATATAGAATCGATATATATTATTAGGTACGTATAGTATTGGTATGGCATTTTATCGTTGTCCCTATATTCTTAGAATCGGCGAAGTATGTAATCGGGGATGTTATCGCCCCGAGGGATGTCAAGTTCATTGGGATTCCCCTATGCGTGTTCCTTGCAAAGATTGTGGTGAGTTGACTTATTCTAAATATGGTTATTGTGACATTCATGCTAAAAAACATCGAAGACGGGATCATTATTACCGGAAGAAGCTGGAGAAGCTAGCCCGAAGTGGACCTGTAGTAAAAGAAAATTAATATACATATGTGTGGTATGTTGGACACCCTATATTTTTCGAAGTTCCAAATAGGACGGATTTTTTTCTAGGACGGATTTTTTCTAGGACGTAACCTAGGACGGAAAAAAATATACACGGCGGTAATTTCAAGCCGAACGAAGGAGTTTTAGACTACCCGTCCCAGTTGTCCCAGCTGTCCTAGTAAAATCTCGATTTTCTTACCTTTTTTTTCTTTTTTTATCTATAGGTATACATAGTATATATTATATGTATATATCATATGTATATAACGTTATGTATAGTATATATATATCATGAGTAGATAAGTTTTATTTTTTTCTATATTATTACTTTTTACTAGGACAACTAGGACGGATATATAATAAATATAAAGGAACAAGATAAAAATATTTTTAAAGCTTTTCTCCTATATCGAATCCGTCCCAGTTAACTTTTTTTTTTACTAGGACGAAACCGGGACAGATTTTTTATTAGGACGCGAGCAGATCGATTTAACCGCATTCTGGAATATCAATCATGGGTCAAGGTAAGTAACATATACCTTGCTACTAGGCCAGCTAGGGACAAGGTAAGTTGATATACTTTGATATAACATGTCTTTAAACATGGGCGAAATAGCATTAATCACATACATATTTATTCACTATGTATTTATGCTAATACAGTATACTGTATAAATATAATAATTATGCATTGAGTATCCTCAATATTTAGTTTTGCAAAAATATATATATAACAATGATAATATTATAGTGATAATAAATAACCATCTCGCAAATTCATTGGTTGGCAAAATATTTGGCAAGAATGTTTATAGTGTTTTTCGCATCCAAAAAACTATGAGCGAATATAGGATTAGGATATTCATGCCACGGGTCTTTACATTCAGCACGAGGGTCGTCAAAGGTGGATTTGCGAAGGCAACTTGGATTGTTATTCACAACAACAGATAATCCGACAAGATGATTCCTGACAAGCCATATCTTTACCAAGTTCGCGCACTCCATGTTCAAATCTCTAGCTGGAACCGATTTGTTATTTGGGAAACACTCAAGTAACCTCTGGTATACGCTACTTCCAGGACCAAAACCTGCAAGACTCATTGTATCTTTGATCACGGTCCAATACGTCTTTCCTTTGTAGATATTCTCGGCGGCTATAGCAACTTTTACGGCGGTGAGATCGCCCCCCATCTCCATACCGAATATTCCATTTTGCCAACAGCTTCCACATTGTGGAGCATTCTCGAGGCATACCTTATTAGGGCCAATCATGGAGTTTTCTTTTACTTTGCCATTTTCCATCTCAGTGCAGAGATTATAGTTGAATAAGTATCCTTCAGTTTCCGGAACATCAAGTTTAATGAATTTACTGTATGGTTCTTCAAAAATCCCTTCCTTTAACGACCACCAAGTTGCGACAGCTACTGCATAAATAGATGGTTTGATTTTGGAATCACCAACCATCTCTAACCAGATTTTGTTGTCGTTCCATGGGAGTCCTTCAGTTGTCTTAGCGTTCGGTACGGTGTATTTCTTGATCCAATCTACCCATTTACGCTGAGGAGTATTGTGTTTGAGTTCGTCTATGTTATTGATAGATAGCACTACGTTGACCGAGATCAGACAGGTTATAATAAGAACAAAAATAATGCACCTCATTATTAGCTTTTTAAACTTGATGTGATTTTACAGATCCATTTTATAGGAAGTACTATTACGTATAGAGGCACCTGATTGCCTGATTTTTAGAAGTTAGCTGTTTCTTTGTTAAACGGCGTAATAATGATATGATTGTAAAAATCGAATGATGACTACATAAATCAAGTGACTTAAGTTTTGCGATCGTACATCATCTGTGGATCGGTGTATGGCCTAACATGCAAAATACACATTACTCGAGTGTAGCCAGAATTATGAGATCAGCTACGCACACACTTTATAGTACTGTATATAAATATAATATCGAATTTGAGTTTCTAAAGGCAATAGAGAAGGATTGCATTGAGGCATCATAACCTACATCGGTGAATACCTTAGTTTTAAAATTAATCATGATCATCAAATTGATATACAGTGTATCACATACTATTTAACCATAGAAGTTAACCAAATTACTGTCTCGATATGTGAGAGTTTGAGTGTGACCTAAAAAATAAATCACACCATCTTCGAATGTGGCCAAAATTATGAAATCGGCCACAGACTAATGTGGCCAAAATTATGAAATCGGCCACAGACTAATGTGGCCAAAATTATGAAATCGGCCACAGACTAATGTGGCCAAAATTATGATATAGACCATGTCATAACCTAAGCTAAGTGGGAATAACATAATTATGTTATTCCCACTAGTGGGGAAATTGTATGGAGCAGGCCACGATACACAATCTGATGCATCACATATCCTGAAAATTGAAAATAATCAGTGGAGTTGAATAAGCAATGACAAAATAATTAGAGTTTAAAATAGACTTTTTATAACTTTCCTTGTAAGGATAGTCTATCGATAATCTAATTTCCTTGTTATCTTATAATATAAATAGAAGAGAAAATTGTAAAAAGTAGGAGTAGTACAAAAATTATAAAAAAAACGGTTCCTTAAATTAAAACCTTCTTAATTAGAACATGTGAAAGTCATTGCTAAAAGAAGTAAAAACTAATTAACTTACCTAATCTAGTACTTGTTGCAGATAGGATGCTTGGAACCACAAAGGGAAAAGTGGTAAAGATCTGTTAAGAGAAGCAATAACAGAAAGAGAAGGAAAGAGTTAGTGGAACTCAGCTAAACAATCTATACACCTCAAGTATAAAAGCCAAACACTTACCAACGTTATGCGAGGAGTGCTCTGAAGAAGTGACAGACTCACCGAGAGAGATGTCAACAATATTGTTAAAATTTGTAGATTTTTAAAACAATTGGTATAATTATTTAATACAATTAATTGAGTCATTATTAAAACATATAAATATTTAAGATACAATGCAATTATTTTTAAGGATTTTAGAAAATTAAATCAATATTAAACAATTTATATTACATATATATAATTTTATAACCAAATAATATATTATTTCAAAATCTTTTAACAAATACTTCTTGGAGAAATAATTGATTTTCTACTTATAGATTTTATAGTGCATTTGATACAGTTTTATAAAAAATTTAGTTGACTTAAGCTATCAAATTTAGAAGTAAAAAAGTCAAGCAGAATATAAATTTTCCATATATAATATTTCATTTAAAAATTATATTAATACTATATATCAGTGTTCTTATTATTAATTTTTTTAAGGTTATATATTGATTATTAATATGTAATAAATTATTATTGTTGTTATTATAGTTTGTTATTATTATTATTGTTGTTTGTTATTATTATTATAATAATAATAACTAATAATATGATTTATATAATATATAATTAGTAGAAAAAGATTTGTAATCTTTTAAAAAAAATTAATCAATTTTAATTATATATACAGTGGTGATCAAAAAAAATGGCATTGATATTTTTTATTATAATTTAATAAATAATAATTTAATTGAGATAAAACTTTAAATATATATATTTTATAACCTAA